ACAAATGCAAGGATAATTAAGGATAATTTTTTTATTGATTCATTTTCAATTAGGGCAGTATAGATCTATTGATACGTGGTAACAGCAAAAAACAAAAACAAAAAAAAACCACCATCTAATAACCCTTTATCTAATTATTTCAAAAACAAGGATATTGTTTGTACTTGCAGCACAAGTACTTTGTAAAAAATAAAAAGTTTGGTTTGTAGATTTGTCTCTGTAATTCCATCGTTGACAGCAGAGGGGGCTGTCTTCATACTATGACTTAGAACTAAAAGAAGTCAGTTTCTCTCTTGTAATCTGAAAATTACAATGTTTTGTGAATGTATTTTTTCAACAAACACGTCAGCCTACTGGGAAATATCACAATGCATCCACTCACTTAATGAATAAGGTTATCTAGCCATTACAACCTCTGCTTAGGTATTCAGGAATTCCAAGTTGCCTTTAATAGCAACCTTGTCAGGCATGGAGTTTCTCACCTCGCTCTTAACGTCTTAACTTTTTGACACTATGAGAATGTGCCAAGTCCTGCTTGTAACACTCCTGAGGAGGGTCTAGCACAAGAAATGCACCAGTTGGAGCCAATGTTCTGCAAACAGTGTGTTATGGCCTTTAATGGACTGACTACAGCCACATAGAATCAAAACATCTCCTTGTACATATCTAATCAGTTTCTGCTGCTAATCTGGGACGCACATTCAAGTGTAATGGGTTAAGCTGCTTTTCTAAGGTATACGCAAAGTCATAAAGGTAAAAGCTATTTAACCTAAATGTACTTTGCTGATAGGAAAAATGAAATGTTAACTGAAAGAAAACAGAAGGAATAAGAAAAAGGAAAAAATATTGCCCTGGTAAAACTGCTTTAGAATGAGAGTGTTTTAAGTTTAAAAAAATTATTCTGGGCTAGCCTATGGTAAACTTAATGGAGATTGGTTATTTTTTGCTTCAAGACCTACTTAATGTCCCAAGTCTAAGTCAGGCCCCAATCGTACTGAGTCATGCCCAAGCCATACCTCTGCTCTTTAGCCCAAGTCAAGTTTGTATTCTCTAATAAAATAAACATTTTTTAATATTTTAATGCTGTATTACTGTAGGTTAACGAAACTAAATCAAAGCTGTTCATTATTAGATGTTTAGACGTGGGGCATTCCATTTGTGGGTGGGTTTAACATAACAGATTTGTTTTATGGGTTTGAAAGATCCTAAATGAGTGTTTGAATTCAAAATTGTGTTAAAGCGATTACTATCTATTATCAAGGCTACCACAGAGTATTTTAATGAAGTTAACACCTAACATAGACTACTAAAAAACAAATATTGCAGTCAGTATATAGCATATTAGTTATTAGATATTTTACTACTGCATAGCAACCTGAATGACTGAGAATTTACACAGGCAAGCACCCGTGTGTAACTGGTTTAAAATGACTGAATGTCTTAATGTTAACCTTATATGAGACTAGTTTGCATTTGATATTAATCATTAAAAGCCAATGTGACATTATATGATTTTTAACTTCGATGTGGCCCAAATTAGTCCAAACCACTCAGCACAGTGAAATGTAATAACCCAACATCATTTCACCATGTTTTTCTTTATTTTATTTTAATCCTTTTAAAGAGTTTCAGGTAAATCTAATCAGGCTTTTCTTATGTTTTTTTTTTTTTTATAACAATAAGGCACCTAAATAAACAAACTTGATCATAATGTTTTAGTTTGGTTAAAACTATCAAATAGAATGACTGTAACTTTTCTATCAAATGTAAGTGGTTCTCCTCTCCTTTAAGTTGAAACTTCAGGCACGTCAATTTTTTCTGTGTAAAAAATATTTAGATTTCATGTTGAGATTATTCTGGTTGGAAGAACTCTTTTAAGACATCAATTGAATGTTCTTCATTTCATAAAATAATGTTCTCCCATACAAAGAATATCACTTGTAGAAGACTGTACGTTTAATATGCACTAATTCCAGATATATCATCAATTGATACTTCCTCGTTCAGAAGGAATATGTCATCTCGATCGGTGCAGCTCAGAAGATTTATCAATGGAATAGAAGCAGGTACATTGGAGATGATGGTACAGATGATGAGATTTATACTTGGTTTCTTAGGGATATGTATGTGGATGTGTGGTTATCTGAAACAGAATAAACAATAAAGATACATATTTATAGCCAAAATGGCTTATAGTATCAAATAAATCCACTGGAGGGCGCCATAACACCACACATGCATTATTGGTCAAGTGCAATAAACATACACCGGACAAAACAGTTGGAAAATATGAAATGAACGGTAATGCCCTCATATACTAATAAAATGACAATATATCTGGCAAAGTATAACAAAGAACTTGAGTTAATATAAGTAAACTCTTGCATTGTCAGTAACCAGAGAAAAACGAGCACGATTTCACCTCCTAACATAATAACTGACATAAAAACACAATATCTGATTTAAAATGTAAACTTTGATGGTAAAGAACGCACACAGGTTTCATACACACTGAATTAAAGAAAGTTTAATGGTGAATGCTATTTTTGGGACACCGAACCACCCAGAACCACAGAAAAAACAACTTGCTCCGCTACGTGAAATTAGAACTACAAAATGAACAGATGCATCATGGGTAATGTGGTACTAAACAAACGGACGGACTTTTGACATTACTCCATCGTTAAAAGTTGTGATCCTGGTTTTATTCTCCAACAATTAGCAAAAACAGTGAAATAATAAAAGCCTGTAATGGATGAGACCTCTAAAAAACGCTATCCACCTCTACAGACGGATCAGGTAGGATCATTTTGAACTCAAATCTATGCATGACACACAAGCAGAAATCTATATTTAGAAACAATAATAATTGTAGCAGGTGTGGAAAGCTAAAAGTACCACAAAGTCAGAACATCAAAAAAGGATTTTACAATTTTTAAATGTGAAACGTTCAATGTTTATTTGTAATTATCAAATATATATGCACTTAGTTACTTATTGACCTCGTGCTGCAGACATTATGAATTTGTTTCATTTCTCCATCTTACAAATCAGGATCAGTGGTAGTGACTTCGAGTTATGCATAGTTTGCTGAAGCAGAGGAAGTCCAAGAAGTTCTTCAAAATTTTACCTTTTCAATATACAATTTTTTATTGACTGCATTATTTAATTATTGCATTAATAAATAACGATATTTAAAACAATAGAAAATTGTAATTTAGTTTAGGTTTATGTTTTAAAATGTTTAAAAGGATCACATATTATGCTGTAATGACCTTCAGTGGGATAACGTGGTACTTCAAAGCCTACTCCTTTTGAACGATTTATATTGTGCTATTGTGTGATGGTTTTTAACATACAATTAAAACCAAATGTACTAAAGTGTGTTGCTTCATTGTGACAAAATGTGTAGTTCAGTTAGCACTAATAGTGTTTAACGAATTTTATATATTTAATACCGTATCTACCTTTTTATTATTTTAGATGTTGGGACTCTCAGAGTTCGCCAGCAGGTGGCAGTATTTGAGCAGGAAACAGCTCCTCGCATACAGTAAGCCTACAAGATGTTATAAAGAAAAACCACGAATCCTAAAATAAAATATAATTGTATGTGTGGAATGAAGATGTTTGGTTGTTTTCTGTTTTATAAATACTTTCTAAAAGTATTTTACATTGCAGCTTTTAACTTTGTCTGCCGCTGCTGGAACAACTGTTTCAAATCCGAAAGTTTGTTTACAAAGGCAAACAAAAGGCTTCAGCCGGAGCTAAGGAGGTCAGAGACTGGGCTGGGGTCGGAGCGATAAATTAAACATGAAATCTTGAATTATGAATTCTCTTTGAGGGCGGAGGAGCCTGGAGCTTCTGTATCTTTAATAGCGAGCAGAAAGATGGGAGAGGCTGCGCGTTCATGTTCCTATTTCTCGCTCCGCAGCGACGGGAGCGCGCAGCGGGTCCCTCTCTTGCACTGAGGAAAATAGCGCCGGACGGACCGTAGCAGCGACTGTCCGGGGTTTATGAAAAAACATGTTTTTGCCACCATCCTTCGAGCTCAACGCTGTCCAGTTTGGTAAAAATCATGTGAAGGAATCTACGGCGCGTGCGGATGCCACTTTTTTCCACATTTAAACTCGAAAAATCTAGAGGACTGTGAAACTCTGATTAAAAATAACTGGAATTGAAGTTAACTCTGAAAAGGTAAGACAGTTTGATAATTAAACAAGCCGGTTGCTTTAGGTAGCCTGTTAAATATGAGGGAAAGCTACAAATCATACTGAAGCTTCTATGAAACCAAAAAATGTTTGCCCTAAAGTTTAAAACGCATTGCATGCCACTTTAAAACGACACAATCCAATAAATATCGCTAAGAATCACATTTTTGGGGAGTAGAATAAGCGTAGAAAGTGTTTTCATCACCATGGACAGCGCCTGTTTGCCTTATGTGGATTGAGAAGCGCGCACAAAGAAAAATGCTGCCCTTAAAAAAAAATCACAGCCTATAAGATAGTTTTATTTTTCTTAAATTATTTGCAAAATCTACCAAAGCATCGTAGTTTCAGGTTGTATAATGTAAAAACAGCAAACTTCCTGTGTTTTTAATCAGATCAGATAATCAGTTTATAGTTTTTTTTAATGAAATATATATTTTGAAACATGCAATTTAAGTGAAGGAATGATACATATTCAAATCCTTTATATGTCTGCTTTTTGATGCTTTCAGGTGCAGAAATGGCTAGACGGCTCCTGCTGCTTGTTGCTTTGTGGACTGCTTTGATGGGCATTGCACAGGGCTGTCCAAAGCTCTGCAGCTGCCAGGACAAATTTGCCAACCAGTTTGTTGATTGTGCCTACAAAGATCTGCTTGAGGTGCCTGTCGGCTTCCCCTTTAATGTTACCACCGTCAGCCTCTCAGCCAACAAGATCAAATCCCTTAAAAGTAAAAGCTTTGTCAACATCACTCAAGTCACCTCTCTCTGGCTGGCACACAATGAGATCGTCAGTATTCAGACCAACACCTTTGCCCCCCTTATTCAGCTTCGCAACCTGGACATCAGCTTCAATAAGATTGTAAACTTCCCCTGGGGGGATCTGCAGAACCTCACAGCACTGCAGCTTCTGAAAATGAACAACAATGAGATGGTGAACCTTCCGAAGGATGCCTTCTCCACGCTCAAAGACCTAAGATCCCTCCGCATCAACAACAACAAGTTTACTACCATTGTGCAGGGTACCTTTAGTGCCCTCTCCTCTATGTCTCACTTGCAGATTTTCAAAAACCCATTCACGTGCTCCTGCAACCTAGAGTGGCTACGGGATTGGATTGCAACCACTAAAATTTCTGTGCCTGATCCTAATCAAATTCAGTGTGAAACCCCTGAACATCTGAAGGGGGTGGAGGTTTCGAAGATTCCCAAGTTTCAGTGTGAAGCCCCCATTGTCACCATAACCTATCAGCCAAACATAGAGAACACTGTTCTTCATGAGAGTGATGCTGTTATCTTAAACTGTGAGACAAAAGGGAGCCCCATGCCTCAGGTCAGCTGGGAGGTGATTGCTGGAAATCAGAATTACCTCTTCCCTCTGCCATCCACTGCAGAAGTAAATGATGTGCCAGTAAATGACAAAGCAACCAACAATAGATTCCTTGTCTTTAGAAATGGGACTCTCTTTATCCCTCGCATGAGCAAAAAGGAGGAAGGCAATTATAGCTGCTCTGCAGTGAATGAGTTAGGAAAGGCAGAGAGCAATGTAAAATTGGTTTTGGCTCCCAGCTCAAAACAAGGAAATTCAGTCCCCGATTCAACTCTGGACAAGATCCGTCTTACTGGTAAAAAGACTTCAGACCCTAAGGCCGCCAAGAACAATGTAATCAACTGGGCTAAGCATGAGGAAAAGACAAAGGAAAGCACAGATGATAGCTTGAAGCACAAAGTAGGCCAACCAGAAGAGGCTGGAGGTGTTCCCAAGAACCCTAGCTTTGGAAGCAAATGTGGTGTGAGAGAGGGCAGTGAATACATCTCTAACCATGCCTTTAACATGACCCTGGATGACCTAAAGCAGTACACCTTTGATTTTGGTGTCATTGCATTGGAAGTGTCAGAGACAGAGGCCAAAGTGCAGCTAAACCCACTGCAGCTACCTAGCAGCAAATCGAACCTTCACCTGAGCCAGACTGAGGACCAGGAAATGGTTGTCAAGGAGCCCTTTGGTCAGCGACAGTCTTCTTCCAACAGGGAAACATTAGACATGCTCTACCTCTGCATAAAAACAGGAAATGGACACTCCCTGGTACAGTGGTCCAATATAGAGGAGGGGGTAAATGCGTACCGCTTCCACGGCTTACAGCCGGGGACCAATTACACTCTTTGTCTCACTTATGGGTGGGAGGACTGCCAGGTCCAAGTAGTATTCACAACAAGAAAAAAGATCCCCTCCCTGCTAATTATTGTTGTGGTCAGCATTTTCCTATTGGGCCTGGCTACTGTCCCCTTGCTGGGAGCCACCTGCTGCCATTTGCTGTACAAGTACCAGGGAAAGACCTACAAGCTGATCATGAAGACACAGAATCCGGATCAGATGGAGAAGCAGATGACAAGAGATTTTGATCCCAGGGCGTCTTTTGTGGAGTCAGAGAAAACCTTCAGCCCCAGCGAGGTGGGGGAGGGAGAGGAGGAGGCTGAGGGAGAGGAAGGAGACGGAGAAAGGGATGGTGATGCTGAGGGAAGCGTGGTGACCGAATCCATCCCCGGGTCCTCATCAAAAACCAACCCGGAGGAGTTCGAGATGGGCTCCGAGTACAGCGACAGGTTACCGCTGGGAGCGGAGGCCGTCACCATCTCAGAGGAAATCAACGGCAACTACAAGCAGCCCAGCCGCTGAGCTCCACGGACGTCTAAGAGTGTTGTGTAAAAATAGTTTACTTTAAAGTAGCCTTTATTCGAGCAGGTAACCCACACCTCATCGATACACCTCAGTTTAAAAAGAAGGCGGAGTTTCCTTCTTTTTTCTTTTCTTTTTTGTTACCTCAGACAGTCCTTCAATCACTGAGATTGTAAATTACATCGTGTTACATTTTATAGTCTGTTGTGTTTACAGAACAAGCACAGATTTAGGCAGTTTAACGGACCTCAAACTGCGACAAGCAGCAAAATGTTCCCTTTCTGCAGCACAAGCACGTGCCCAAAGCGCGCGGGGCGCAGTTTGCGCAAGACCAAATGTAGGACAGCAATTAGCCTACAAATTCAATCACCGGTTGGTTTGGATCATAAAAAAATAGAAGGAAAAAACTAAAAAGCAACAAAAGAAACAAAACAACTGAAGTGCCATAATTTCTATATTAATCCGTTTTAATTAAACAGACATCAGGGAGTCGCTTCTCTCTGCTTGCGTCTTTGTGCGCTGCTTTAAGGCCGCCTTTCAACATCCTCTCAGGTGTCACAGTGTTCCAGGAAGGTTGGATTAGTTCTTTTAATGTGGCTTTTTGATCAGGCTGCTGATATTTAATATGGGCAGATGACTGAACCGCGTCTTGCTTGCTGTCCCGTGCGCCCCAAAAGAGGGAGATTGCGCTTTTCATCCATGTTTGTGCTTGATGGATAAAAACTATTCGGAAAAAATAAAATCAAAGGTTGTTAGCCTGTAAAATGTTTCACGTCACGTCTAGAAAGGCTTTAAACGTTATTCAACGGGTGTGCGCAGCATCTATCTACTCTCGCTTTTTACAAAAAATAAAAAAACGCGTCCGTGGCATGTCACGCGTGTTTTCATTGTGTGGTTTTTGATTAGTGTAGTCTGTAGGGCTTTAGATGTTGCTCTCTATATGTGATGTAAATGCAACTTTATTTTTATTTCTTTTCTTTTTTTTTACGGCGAGCTGTGATGTAGAGAAAAGGCGCACGGTGCGCCTCTCCGCTTCACCGTAATTTGTTGCATAAAGTGATTTTTTTTTTGTGAACAATGTTGTAAAATGAAAACAAAAGATGTGACCTTTTACGATTTTTTTATATAAATTTATGTAAGTGGAATTAATAAAATGTACAAAAAATAAGCAGATGTCTTTGTCTTTGCTTTAACGGACCTTTCTTCCTAAAATTACTAAACGACAAGTTTTTTTTCTTCTTCTAAATCATCCATATCATAAAATAATAATATCAGCACTTTATATAGACTGATTTAAAATAATTAAATCTACATTTTATACATAAAGTTCGAGGATAAGCAGCAGTATTTAGACTAATCCTCGTTTTTCCCTCAAATTCACTATTATACATTTTTTTAAGCTACAGCAAAAAAA